GGCGTACAATCCTTTCCCTGTCGTTTTGAGACGGTTCAGAGGCCAGGCCCCTCTTGCGACGCGCCCGGCGGCTGACTGGCCACAGCCCTGAGCAGAGTCCTGCCCCCCCCGGCCCACCCCCTGCTGGCACCGCTGTGGCTGGAGAGCAGCAGGTTCCTGCAGGCGAGGGGCCAGCTGCAGCCTCCAGTGGGACCCGGGAGCGCCGGCCGCGGCCTCCGCCTGCCACAACGGAGCCCGGAGCAGCTGCCCGGAGCGGAGAGGGCACCCCTGGCAGCGACCTGCCTGGAGCCCCGGTTCTGCTGCCAGCCCCAGCCCCTCAGGCCTCACTGCTCCCCTGGGACGGGCTGCCGAAGTCGCTGTCCACCAGGTTGATGGTGTAGGGGACGTCGATGACCTCGGCATGGGTGGTCGCCGTGCGCCAGGAGTTCAGGGGGTGGATGGCTTTCCGGAACCGCTGCAAGGAGTGTGGGGGTGGGGGTGAGCCAGGTGCCAGGCCCAGCCCTCGGGGGAGGGGAGGTGAGCCAGGCGCCAGGCCCTGCCCTCGGGGGAGGGGGGAGGGGTGAGCCAGGCGCCAGGCCCAGCCCTCGGGGGAGCAAGGCCCAAGGACTCGTGGGGTGGGGGGCTGAGGCACATGACTGCTGAAGCACGGTAGCATTTGCCCGACGGCCGCAGGGTTGGGCCCCGGGGCTGCGGTCGGGAGCCTGAGCCCTGCCCAGAAAGGACAAACCAGGGCCCAGCAGGGGCTCCAGCCCAGGTGGTGAGAGATGGCAAGTATCCAGATCCCAGCATGCCCCACTCTGCACCCCCCCAGCCGGGAGCTCCCAGCTCCTTCCAGCCACGCCCTCCCCACCCCTGGGGGGAGCCGGATTGCACGGGGTCCCGGGGAGGAGGCAGAGCGGGCAGCTCGGCTCCACACTCACATCCGTCAGTGTCCCCGACTCCCTGCAGATGGCCACGAGCGCCCAGAGTGGGATCTGGATGCAGGTCACGGTGCCCATGCACACGCCCAGGGCCTTGCCCCAGCGCGGGTAGGCGTAGGCGCCGTAGTGCAGGGTCGTGTTGTACATCTCCAGGAAGATGTAGAAGAGGATGAACTGGAAGGGCAGATCCGAGCAGCACGGTCAGACACCCGCAGCCCTTCCCCCGCCATCCAGACCCACCTCTTGCAGCAAGGGGCCTGCCCGCCCCCACCCCCACCCCTGAAAGTGCCCAGATACCATGGGGATGGAGTTCACGAGGGCTACCAGAACTTGGTCTATTCTACCTGTGCAGGCTGCAGCCACTAGGGGGCAGTGGTGCAGCACCGTCGAGTCTGGCCTTGCCCCAGGGATGCCGAGGGGGTTACAGGCCGGGACACCCGGGGCCTGCACGGCCCCCATCTGGCTGCCGGGTCAGGAAGGCCCCCGAGCAGCTCAGCTCTTCAGCACTAAAGTTGTCCTGGGCCTGGCGATACAGGCCAGCTTGGCTCCTTTGCTCACACAGCTGCCCCTTGCGTGTGGTGTGGGAGCTCCGCGGGCAGGGCCGGTACCTACCAGCAGCAGGCACGGCGTGATGAATACCCAGCATGCCTTGAAGTACAGCACCAGCTTGCTGCACCAGGGCGGGCACCGGCAGATCATGTCAACGATGTCCCGGCAGAACTGGTTCACTCCTGAGATGGGGACAAATGGAGGTTTAAAGAGGAGAACCCCCGGGGCCATGGGCACCCCCTGCACCAGTGCTGGGGCGTCACCGCCACTCAGCCAGACCCGGCACTGGGCGAGCTCCCCAGGGGCACACCAGGGCAGGGCTTGGATGGCAGATCTCCCAGCACCCCCGGGGGCTGCAGAGAGGGCGCTTGGTAGCTCAGAAGGAAGTGCTCTTTCCGGGTCAGCGGTTCCAGAGGGTGCTGCTGGTTTCTGGAGGAAGCACTGGGGCCCTGAGCCTTGGCCGGAAACGTACTGCCCTCCAGGGTGGAGATCAGCCAGGGCTCCCTCTGCGTCCTGTACCAAGCATGCGGCTGATGCTTGAACAAGGTGGAGTGGTGTTGCTATGTGCTGTGAAGCAGTTACCACGTCGTTCCCCAGAGGCGGCTGCATTTCCGCGGTGGGTGAGGAGGGAGGTTAGTCCAACGCTCTGGGATGCACCGAGCCCCGGGCTGGGGACACTCACCGTAGAAGAAGGCAATGCCAATGCACATGAAGAGGGTGATGATGATGAGACCGAAGCTGGTGCTGTAGGCGTCGATGAGGGTGAACCAGTAAATGCCGCCCTGCAAGCGACAGTGCAGCGGGCACGTGAACACCCGGCCGGGCACAGGTAGGGAAACGCGCCCAGCGCCTGCCATGCCAGAAGGGCAGCCTCTGCCCCCATGGACCCGCCGTGGGGCGCTTTGCTTGCCCAGCATGTGCCCAGCTGAGCCACAGGCCCGGCCGCCCATCTCCAGCCCGAGTGCGGCACAGCAGGGTGAGCACCCCCCAGTGCCCCCATCCAGAGGGGAAGGCCCCGCCCCCCGTGCCAAGCAGGCAGTCGTGGGCTCCTGCCCCGAGGCCGATGGCATCTGTGGGCTGGAGACAATTCGGCCCCGACAGCAGGCTCCCCGTGGGGCTGCACACGACGGGCCGGGGGCTGAGCTCTGCCCTACCTCGGTGATGAGCAGTAGGCCGAGCAGGTAGAAGGTGAAGCACAGCGCACCCAGGAAGAGGGTTTTCCATCTCCACTCGCGCAGGGCCGGGAACTCGTCCAGCACGGCCGTGGTGATGCCCTCCATGTTCCCGAACTGGGGGAGAGACGGGGGTGTCAGGACATCCCAGGCACCTGCCCATGGGGCTCTGCCGATCTCGGGACGTGCGCTCAGTGCCCCGGCACCCTGCTGAGCGTGTCCCAGGCCCCGGTGCGGAGGGAGTGTCTCCAGGAGCACCCCACACATCATGTGGGGCTAAGTCCAGAGGAAGCTGGCAAGGGTCACTCCTGACTGCCCGTCCTACTCAGAGTGGTGAGGATCCCCCCTCCCGCCCACCCTCTCCAAAGACCACCCCACGCCCTTGCCCCACCGCATTCTCCTGCCCCACCCCTCCAAGGAGAACCCCACACCCCGTCCCACCGCATGCTCCTGCCCCACCCCTCCAAGGAGAACCCCACACCCCGTCCCACCGCATGCTCCTGCCCCACCCCTCCAAGGAGAACCCCACACCCCTCCCCACCGCATGCTCCTGCCCCACCCCTCCAAGGAGCACCCCCTGCCCCCTCTATAAAGGGCATGACAATGTGTCCTGGGGGAGGGTGCTGACACCGTCCCCCATGAACCCAGCTCTGCCACAGAACCCAGCTCTGGACCCCCTGGCCCAGCGGGATTTGCAGACGCTGGGGTGAGGGGTGGACGCTGCTGGACCATGTGTCCAAGAGGCAGGTGGAGCCGATGGGCGGGCGCAGAAGCTTCTCTCCATCGCTAGGGGCCAGCACGTCCCAGATCCACGGCCAGGAGGGCGACACCTCTGAGCTGCAGGGAGGCGGGGGCCAGAGAGGCCAGCAGCCCCCAGCGGTGAAGGGAAGGGGCGTGCGAGCGATGACCTGCCAGGTTATACCCACCAGGGTATCCACTCCCAGCGTGAACATCATCAGGAAGAACAGGACCGACCAGAAGGCAGAGCCAGGCAGCAGAGCAAGGGCTTCTGGGTAGGCTACGAAGGCAAGCCCAGGACCTGCGGGGGAGGAGGAGGAGAAATGGAGAACACGGCCTCCCGCAGCAGCATAGCCCAGCAACGTTCACTCCTGGCCAGGGTGTTTCTACCCCGGTCTAAGGATAAGGCCTTTGTCTGCAGCCACATCGTAAGGCCAAAAGCCTAAGGCCTTCGTCTTCTATCACCAGATAAAGAAACATAAGACGGCTAAAGAAAACTCAGTTTGACAGCATCTGTCTGGCAAGAAATCACTTATCAATAGTTGTGGTTGTGAAATCCCTGTTTCTGTTCTGTTTTGTCATTACGGTCCCCACTTCCCCATAGTTTATCTGTATGGTCTGTCTGGTTCTTTAATTGTTTTGTCTGTTACATAATTAATTTACACCTAGCAAAATTAATGAAGGAGGTGAGGTAGGACTGGTTAGAGAATTTTGTTACACGATGTTAGGATTGGTCAGTAACATTTTACTACAATGATTGGTTAAGGTACAGCTAAAAAGGACTCAAGTTTCACTATATAAACTGCGGTCCAAAAGGAAGTTCTTTGGGAACCAACTCCAGGGCACAGCCCCAAAGATCGGAGCTGCCAGACCTCACAGTGCAGAAACTGGAGTCCCCTAGATGGTCATCAAGAAAAGTTCCGTGTCTGATTGGGAGTGGTGGGCACTGTGGGTAGCGTGTGCAGTCCGGTTTTGGTGACTGGTAATAGATAGAGGTTATGTAGCGTATTACTGTGTGAGGCTCTTTCCCTGGGAAAAGGTCCTGCACACCTGCAGAAGTAGTATACACCCGGAGCCCTACGGATTGGGGAAGGGGGCGGGTACTTACATTGACCGGGTTAGTTACACCCGGAGCCCTATGGATTGGGTACGGGTAGGTGCTTTTCGCCTGAAGCCCAACGGACTGGGAAAAGGTGGGGTGCCCCAATGGGTGCAGGTCACACCAGATCAAGGGCGGCGCCAGCCAGACGGGCAGGACAGTGCCAGCGGTGGTCCCTGAAGGGATGCCCTGTGCCAGGACACATTCGAGAAGGGTTGGGGTCAGGGGGGCGCATTAGACACTCCAGCAGTGCCCTGCCGGGATGCCCTGAGGGTGGGCTGCACCCCTCGCAGGGATAGACCTGAATCGTCCCCAGAGCCACCCCCCACCCCGTCTCCCAAGCGTTAAAGGCCAAGTTTTAAACCCAGCTGCCCAAAGCTAAGCTCCTAAATCCAGGGCAAGGCGCCCAGCAAGGAGCCGCCCGATCCTCAAGGGTCCGGAGCGAGGGCACCTCCTGATGGAGGCCCAGCTGGCCTGATCTGGAGAGGAATTGCCAGAAAACCCCCCCAGCCCCCCAACATCACTGGGGCAGGCACGGAATTTGGCTGGGGCGGGGCAGGATGGGAGGTAGGGGCTGAGCAGGATGGTTTCACCCAGGCAGGAAGAACAGCCAGCCCCGCCCGTACCTGAATCGGCCACCTCCCCCACCGGCACTTTCTTCCTCCACGCCATGTGGCCCAGGATGGAGAAGATGGCAAATCCAGCGAAGAAGCTGGTGCAGCAGTTCCCGATGGCAATAACCAGGGTGTCCCTGTGGGCAGCAGAGCAGGGGCGGGGGAGAAGGGTAGGTTGTATGAGGAGTTGGTAGGAGCCTGGGCTGCCCCGCCCCGCCCAGGATCTCTGTCACAGAGACTGTCAAGCCTTTGGGATGAGACGTTCACACCAGCAAGCAGCTCCCCATGGAGCCGAGGTGGTGGCAGAGCTGCCAAGGAGCTGGGATCCCGGCTCCCCACCCCAGTGGTGGTAGCCAACTGGAGTTCCCAGGCTCCCCCGTAGCTCAGCTGGCAGGACCTGGCATTCAGGAGCAGGTCACAAGTTCTAGCTCCGGGACAAGCGTAGAGACCCAGGTGGCTCTGGAGTCATCATGGCAGCAAAGACACCTGCCCCTCCCCCCGGCAGCTGGGCAGCCTCCCCTGCAGCATGTGTGCGGGGTCACTCGGGATCGTGCTGCCTCGGCCCCACCCGGCCTGGCCCAGAGCACTCCCTGGCCCGCCATTCACCTGATCACGTTGTTGTCAAACTTGTTGTAGGAGGCCATGGAGAGCAGACCCCCGAAGCCAATGCCCAGCGAGTAGAAGATCTGTGAGGCAGCGTCGTTCCACACCTAGGGGGAGAGAAGCTGGTTGGGAGCCGGCTCCTTCTCCACCCTGAACACGCTCCTC